AGTCTGTCTGCCATTTCTCCTGTACGATGTCGGTCACATAACCGATGGAGGTAGCTTTCGTATGCCGTTGCCTCAGGAGGGCTTAGTCGTTCCCCCGTTCCAGTGTCACGGTACTGTCCTTCACTGTCTGTGTGGATGGTTTTCCCAATCCACCGGTCTGTTTCTTCCGCCTTGTACTGTAAGTGAAGTCCCCCTGCGGTTCGAAAGAGCGTCTTCGCATCTTGGGTCGTCGTCTCCCCTGCGGCTTCTTGTGCTGGTTCGGCGTCTGGGTGTCGCCCCGGTGCTTTGGGTCTTGGGTTGCGCTGGGTTACCATGTGCAACCTGCATTGCGGGTCACTTCTTTCATGCTGCTTGCGCATCCCCACCTGGCAGATGCCTGATCCAACGCGGCATATTTGGCACCTCCTCATTCTTTAAGGCAAACTTCACTAGGTCCCCCTGCTTGTGTTATCACGACCTCTGAGTTCGGAAAGTCCCCCGTCCAGCGGCCAGGTAATGGACACGAAGCTCAGGCTGGTAGAGGTCAGGGTCCTTACTGTAGAAGGTGTTCACCTCCCCCTGCAGAAGGTCTAGGAAGAGGCTCTTGCAGTTTCCAGGTTGTCCAACGAGTTGTAGCACAGTGAACTTGCCCGTCTCGAAGATTGCGCGCCCCCCGCTACAACGGACTGTGGGGCCACTGGAGCAAAGTGGCGTCAGGCGTGACAGCTCAAGCACCGCTGGAGAAGACAGGAAGGCTCCCCCAGGCCAACAACCTGGGTCAACCTCCTATCTCCCCCCCGATGCAAGAGGGCGGCACAGGCCCCCAAGCAACGGTGCAGCACTTGAGCCAAAATGGCTACGAGCACACTCTCTCTCTCTCTCTCTCTCTCCCTCTCCCTCTCTCTCTCTCTCTCTCTCTCTCTCTCTCTCTCTCTCTCTCTCTCTCTCTCTCTCTCTCTCTCTCTATATATATATCTCTCTCTCTCTCTCTGTCTCTATCTTTCCTTCGCCAGGGCTAGGGTGTAGGGTCTCTATCTCTCTCTCTCCCTCTCTCTCTGTCAGTGTGTCCGTGTGTGTGTTCGGTCTGCATTGGTTGATGTTGTATGCCTTAGAGGCAGACTGCCGCACAGCCTCGCGACGGTGAGCCCTGGTGCCACTGGCAGGCGCGGCTGCTTGGCACACCTTCTGCTCAGGGTCATTGTCTGGCATACCACGAAATGACACTTTCAGAAAGCAAGAGGTCCCAATTAATATAGATCTCTCCATGTAATATGATCCTGCTGGTAGGACCCTCAAAGGGGACCCTCATTCTCTGAAGCCCTCATATATTGCAGGCTCTGTAATTCTAGGACTCAGTTCTCAGGATATCTAGAGTTCTCGGGTTACAGCTTCATGTCAGCGATTCTCTTGTCCTGCATCCCTGGGGCTGGATTCTGTAAACACTCAAGTATCTTTGCAGCCATGATGAAACCAGAAGCAACATCGATGCGAGTGGATCTATAAGTTTGCTTGAACCCCATGAAGCTATTGGAGTTGTAGCTGCTCTGCCGGCGCACCAACAGTCACGAAGCAGAAGCCACGGCTCTACCAAGCCTTGCAAGAGCCTGCGCGCCCTCCGCCATCGACATCCCGCCAGACTGAATCCTAATCCTAAATCTTGCCTCCCGAGCCCCTGAAACCCTAAGCCCGGAACGTCTGCTACCTCCGAACCCCGGAAGCCCAAATCCCGAAAAACCTAAACCCACTCCCGCCTCTCCGGGTTCCGCGGCCGGATTAGGGCCGAGAAATCCTGCGGCCCGACAGACTTCCCCAAGCAAGCTTTAATCTATAGGGCCGAGGCGTCAGGCTTGGCTTTAGGAATCGGTGCAAGGTCTCGGGAAACCCGAAAAGGCCTGTCGTAGGGTTAAAGTCGCATCTTGCCGAAGTTCCAAAGTCGAAGCTCCAGAGCATGTTTTGAGACTTTGAGTTCTAGGGTGTGCTACTGGGCCTATGTCTCTTCCAAGTAGACTTAATTCATGACCACGGAACCGCACCTCGCAATAACATCCGAAGCCTTTTTGACTACATCCAAATCGCAACTATCTGGTGGCCATTTGCATGGCGAGGACGAGGGCAGCGGCGAACAACCCATCCCAAGATCACTTTTACCGAGCATCTGTGGAGGGCTCGTCGCTTGGAGGAGCATGAGTGCGGCCGTGCCTAAGGCAACCAACACCATTTCGGAAAGACTCGGGGCACCCGAACAGTAGACCCCATCCCTAAACCCTGAACCTGCCAAGAACCCGCGAACCTTGAATCACAACCTTGCAGCCCTAGCTACATCGCTGTCTTCTTTTCTGGTACCGCCTCCGTGCTTACGGACCAGCAAGCCGTGGCGTGGAGCTTGCAAGGACGGCAACACCACCACTCGAGTAGAGTCAGGAGGCCCCTGTAACAGCAGCACTTTCTTCCAAGATAGAGCTGGATGCTCCGGCCTTCGGGAAAGGGGCTTCTGAATTACCACCTGGGGTCTGAACGATTTTGGCACTGACGTAGGCCCGAAGCAACCGACGGTCCAACAGGGGCCTGGGAGTTCATTTGGGGACTTTCCTTGTGATCTGGTGCCCTATTGCCTACATGCCCAGCTCACACTTCAGAACTAGATATCGACCCCTCGAAAACCTTCAGGCATCTGGCTGGATGGAAACGTTTCAACCCACCTTTGGCTCAAGAGAGCAGATCTCCTAAACACAGCCGAACCAAGCAGCCCAAATCGGCTTCGTCCACCAGCCACGGACCATTGGCTGTACAGGAGCCAGCACAAGGCATGTTTACAAGGCACACGAGCGACGGCATCAAATTACGGGTACAAACAGAACTTAAACAGTTGTTTTTGGGGTCTCGGGTTTAAGACTGGACATGGCAAAGTGGGCCCTTCAGCGATTGCGCACTGACACGATGCATCGAACAATCCAAGGCTCACGAGCACACTTGTCGTGGTTTCAAGCTTTGAGGCCGTCTAAGCCCGTCGCTGTGGCTGTGCAACGGACTGTGCACTTCAGTAGCAGGTGTCACAAGCATCCAGGATGCATGCCTCGTAGATTTTGGGGTTACGGCGGAGAGGACACAGCAAACTCCACACCGAGGTGAGGGATGAGCCACACTGGAACCCTGACACTGCCTGTATGCATGAATGCACGTATGTAAGTGTGCATAAACAGATATGTTTCTGCATCTGTTTACATGCATCTATCTATGCATCTATGTATGTAGGACGGTAGGCATGCAGGCTGTTGCTGCTGCCATGACAATGACGATGACCATGACGATGACCATGACGATGACCAAGATGATGTTGTTGATGATGTTGTTGATGATGATGCTGATGATAATTCTGTTGATGCCGTGACTGGTCACTCTGATGATGGTCATGGTTATCATGACACTGGCGGAGTCTATGGTGTTGGTGTCGTTTGGGATGTCGGACAGAAGCATCGTGTTTGTAACACTGCTGCAGGAACAGTAGCACTTCTCACCGGCACCCCTTATATACTCCATTTGCAGTGATGAGATATGCTCACTACCTTTGAAACTACGAGGTTTCTCCTGCACACCCCAGGAACATGCTCGATGTTTCGAATCTCTCAGACTCCAGGTTCGCCATACCGCAGTTGTCTCTCTCGCGACATCTATCGATCTACCTACTATCTATATACCGACATAAACCCATCTACCTATTTATCTGTCTATCTGGCTACATATATATATATATATATATATATATATATATAGATATATATATATATATATATGTATGTAGCCACCTACCTACCTACCTACCCACCTACCTATCTACCTACCTTTATACATACAGTTCTTACCTTGTACAACTATCTCGATGTCGCACGGGTTGAGAACAGCAACATACGACGCACAAGTATGTGTACGTCAATACATATATGTATATATATATATATATATATATATATATATACACATATACATATATACACAGATACATAGATACATATATGCATATACATATATATATATATATATATGTGTGTATAGATAACACAATATACACACACATCTATATCTATATGTATAGATATATATTATATATGTATACACACAGGTGCATAATTGTCCGCGACGCGTATGTGCACACCGACTGTATACTTATCCACATTACGCACATACACTATGTCAAAACTCTAGGCATTCCTGCACAATTACCATTGTCGGTGAGGGTATCAAACAGAAATCAAAACGTCGGGGTAAGCTTCAGCGAGGAGACGTTGCGTGGAGCTTTAGGTCGAAGAATTCGGGCACAGTTTTGCAGGTGCGAACTGCCCATTACGAGCAGCAGTAGTCACGGCGACAGCAACAACAACAACAGCACTGTTCTAGCTGTAAGAGAAGCACAGGAATCAGAGGACTTGGACTGAGAACTGAACACTGATCTACTCGACTCAATGACCTGCCAGCCCCAAAAACTGCGAATCTACGGCCACAGAAGGCCCTGTGCAAAGCGGGATCTCCACTTCTCGATGCGGGAAGCGAACCCTACAACGTTCTCAAGCCCTGAGAACCCTGAATATCTCCCTGCCTCCTTTGCCTTCTACATGCTTCTTGAGCGCTTATCGTTGCAAAGACCCCCAAGTGGCCCCCTATGAACTTTAAAGGATTCTGAGCTGGCACTCCCAAAAGCAACGCTGTGTCAACCTTTGGTTTTGGGAAGCTGCCTCCGACATCGAACCCGAAGGCTCCAGGCTCGGTGGCAAGAAGGCGAGTACTCTAGGAATGGTCAGGGGTTGCAGGTTTATTCCTCACACACTGGCCTGATTAGGACCATACGATCAGGAATGATAACCGTGACCGTTCATTTTCCTAGATTGCTCGTCAGCTTCGCCGGCCGTCTTCCCGGTTGCGCAAGAGCTTGCCAGCTTCCGCAGAAGACCTTGGGTCAGCTCCCAGTGCGAAGAAGTCACGAAACGCCACCGACCCGACCCCTCTGAGGATAAGACCAAACGACCCTGCTAGTCGCAGGTCACCACGAACTCTATCGGCTCCGCCCACCTCCAGATCAAGGCTGTTCTGACCTAACGGTTGCCTGTCAAAGCTTAAGCCATAGCAAGGTTCCTAGGGATTGAAATGCCTTTGGGGTGATTGAAAGCACACCGTGCTTCCACAGCATCTTCATGGCTGCAGGCACTTTGTTCCTAACGACACGAAGCGTCTCGCTGGAATCAGAAACACGGCAGCCCTAAGGCAGTGTGGAACTTAGGTCTCGGGGCGCGTAGCTATAGAGGTGATCTGGGAAGGTGGGACTGAAAAAGCGCTAGCGGAGTTCGGAACCCAGGCGACACGTGAAACAACTTGAGAGGCAGAGACCCCTACAATGCCACCAATGATTTAAAACATGCGACAAAACAACATGAAGACAGACCTGACCTAAATAGAATTCACGCAAGATTCGGAAGACCATGTGTGAAAACCTCGACACTGCCCACACTGGAACCTCCCCACTATGCAGAGATGCGCCTGTCTTGCAGGACGGCGGCATCCACCGTGACGTACACAGGGAACTGGATCGGCTGCCCTGACAGGTTTAGGGCAGTTTTAGCGCCTGCTCAGAGCTATAGCCTCTAAGTCCTACCAGTTTCGTGCGGAGGAAGCATCTTTGTCCACGCGGAGCTTCGGGCTTCGTGTCGGTCCTAGAGACCCCTGCGAAAGACCAAGGAACAAAGCACACCCAAACCTCGCGTCAAATCCCAAGCTCTGAAACTAAACCTCCGAGTCTGAATCCAAGCTCAAATGTTTGGGTCACTTCCTCAAGCCCCGAAGCTTGCGCATGCGCATTTTGAGATATGAGAGAATGCCCACAGGGCCTTTGTTCGCCGCATCCATGAAAGTCACGTATGGGTAACCGTCCTCGACATGCGCGTCGTCCGGACAGGGATGCAGATTCCCGGAACAGAGTTATAGGGTGTCTGGCCCAAGAGCAAAGGCAGTCCTCTTAGAGTCTTAGGGCATCCCCATATATCATTTGTCTGACCTTTGGTGCTTTGGAGGAGCAGTGTCACTGAACTCTTTCAGGGAAGACGGCTGAGCTGGCTGCCTAAAGGTCCAAAATCCTCTGTGTAGAGTGTTTCTTTCGGACAACACCTCTCTGAGAAATCTCTCAACTATCGTGCGCATGAAGAATGCACCAAACCTCGACAAACAAAAAGCGAAATAGAACGCAACAATCATAACATGCAAAATTGACACGGGAAATGTTTTGCATGTTGTCATTGCAAGCAATCGAAACTGTGTTTAAGTACATCCATCATCACTGCAGGCGAACTGTCCATGTGATGCCGTTGCCTTTGAGAGCCGGATGCTGGATCTTCGACAGAGGCACGAGAACACACACGGAGGAGATGCCCAGAACTGAGAAGATGCTTCAAAGTAGCATAGACAGCACGATCGAGGACATCAGCTTGCACCACGTGGGCGACATCAGCCAATAGCATAATTAACACGCTACCCTCAGGTTCCCCACCCCTCTGGACCACTCGGCCAAATCGGAACAGCAACACAAATTCACAAGCAGTGAACAATTTCCGGCTTGGCTTGAGAGGGTTCTTTGCAAGTTCCAATCCGCAGCTTTCAAGGGTGTTTTTCAAAACACCGTCCTCAGCCTCCAATGTCGAGCTCAAAACCAAGAAGCAAATTTCAAAAAACGTTTTTCGTGACACGCTCTAGAAAGTGCTATGCGGAAGCCCGACACCTAAACATGACATCGATGAAACGTCCTCCCTGCACTTCGCAATGAGCTGGGACCCGGTGTCGTCTTTGATGTGGACATGGCTTTTCCATGCCTCGCAGCTTTCATTGCACTGGGTGGGATGGGGAGGGACAGGGAGAGTAGCGGCGGAAAAGTCTGTTGCGCACATGCACAGGATGCTTCGAACCGGTCTGCAAGCTCCCGACTTCGCCACAATCCCTGAATCCAATCCCGGACCAAAGTCGCACCCTGAAAAACTCATGAACGATTCTCCCCTACTTAAAGGGTCATGGGACTTAGTAACTGTGGTTATAATTAGGGTAACTATACTTCTAACCCCAATTAGGGTACTTATAACCCTACTTACTAAGTCCCATGATCCTCCATTATAGACCCCTTATAGATCCCTTTAAGGAACCATATTATAGAACCCTATAGTACCTTAAACAGGAGCCCTAAACGATTCTCCCCAAGGCCGTATACCTGAGCCTGAGACTCCCAGGCTGACATGGCACAGACAAAAGAAGTCAACAGGGTTTAGGGTTTAGGGTTTAGGGTTGGGCCAGACGAAACTCCAAATCCAGGGACTTCGAAGCTTTAGAACAAGGCCCTCGGTTACAGCTGACAGGGTTTTTTGTTGGACATCGTCATCGCTTCCTACTGTTGCCGATATTCCTGTTCCAAATACCCACAGCAGCCGCCACGGAGCCCTGGGCCCTGCCTTGCAATAAGGCTCCTGAGGGTCCAGCACTCCTACTATATTTTGGGGGTACCGTTTGGTAACTCTAGTAGAATTTACCCCAAAACCCTATTCTATGGGCCCGGAAGGGAAGGCGACTACCTCTGGATTCGATGCGAAGGTCCTACTCTGGACTTCCGGGAGAAACTTTGCTGCAGGGGCCTTGATCATTGGAACCCAGTTTTGGGGTAGAGTATACTATGACTACAACAAGGAAAAAAAAAAAAAAAAATAGTAGTGGTGACTATTTAGGCCGCTATTTTTCATGGGAATTCTGCGGACTCGTACACTTTGCCTGCTGCGCAGCTCCCAGCTGTAGAAGCTTGGCCTGAACCGGGCAGAACACTGATTGATCGGAAGATGCTGCTTTCGCGGATGCCTTGTGCAAAGACTTAGAACGACAACTTCTGTCTTTGCAGATTCCTCCACAAACAACAAGTACACACAATGTAGTCGGAGACACAAGCCAGACATTCTTAGATAGTGCTTAAGCTGTCACCGAACTTCCCATAAGATAGGCGCCTTAATCATTAGAATAGGGTTTCGCGGCCCATTGTAGTAAAGTTGTACTAAGGAACCCCAAAATTATATAGGTACTTATAGAGGCCACTTTTTCTACATAACGACACCTGCGAGGAGACCCCAAGCCGCAGGGGCATCCGCAAAGGAAAACGGCAGAAGTCTCAGCCGAGGCCGCTAACCGGGTTTCTTTCATCCTATCGTAAAGGATCTTGAAACATCGAAACGCTAAGCGACACACTTCGGCCCTCAACACAAATCCTGAAACGTGGCCGAAGACTAAAAACGGTAGTCTTTCATCCTCTTATAATTAAAGAGTCTTGACAAAATCGAAATGCTAAGCCGGCACTAAACGCAAATCAAGACATGTGAGGAAACAGCAAAACCCCCCAAAGTTAAGTGACAATCCTGCTGCCGAACCGTGGGGCCTGCCTTCAGCTCCTTCTGCCAGTCGCTTCGCCTGAGCTTCGGGACGAGTTTCAGAGGAGCTTCAGGGCATTGGGTCTACTGCTTCGGTGGCGATATTCTTACCTTTGGTTAGTAGGGATTGGAGGAATGGGGTACAATTATAACTATTACTACCATTCTTCCATTCCCTACTAACCAAAGGTAAGTATTTCAAGTTTCTTCCTCCCCGCACCCTCCTCCGACCCCTGGCCGAGTCCTGAAACTCGTGGTCTGGTCTCCGGCTCGGGTTTCTTGAACTGCATCGCACGCTCGAGACCCCTTTGCGAGATCTAAGCTTGCAAAAGTCTGCACCTTCCAAAATACTTGGAGGATCATGGGGCTTAGTTATTAAGGTTATAAGTAATTGCCTTAATTGGGGTTATAAGTATAGTTACCCTTATTATGACCCTAGTTACTAAGTCCCATGATCCTTTAAGTACGAGCTGCCACTCGCGGATGGTAAATTCTCGTGAGCCGCCCGTGAGCGGGCGATCGCCGCTGAAGTTGGCCTCAACAAGGACAGGACGGCAGAAACGGCCTATTGCTAGTGGGGTTATGTAAACACAAGTTCCTTGTAAGAATATGTGTATGAAAGTTATACAAGTAGTTATTACAGCCATTGCAAATGAATTACAGTTGTAAATATGAGCTTGGCTACCCCCATGGTTCGGCTCTGCAGGGTGCTCTGAGACAAGGCGACGCGGAGTAGCACTGAGGCCCTGAATCCGATTGCTCGATGGTTTCGGCCCCTTTGCGGCGAGATGCGACTGCATGACACGAGAACGAGGGTCGAAGTCATCCGAGCAGGCTAGACAGTAGCAACCCTATGTTGTGGAGCCGGGGGAACATAGCTTCAAGCTGCCAAAAGAGGTATCAGCAGGATGATTGTCAGAGAGCGGGCTTTTGCAGTATATGGCTTTGAACACAAACTGCTGAGGCCCCCTATACATGACAAGAGCCGCAACATCAATCGGGCCTTTCTACCTGCAGCTCTCTTCGACTCTGGATCTCCCGGCTGCTTGCAATCTTGTCGCCCACACGTAGTAATCGGAAACTAAACCTGGATTTTCATCCTAAACCTCAACACGCAAACACTAACATCACAAAACTCTAACCAATCTTCCGAACATCATGCAACCCTGAACTAGCATCTCCGCGGCCACACAGACAGAGAGCAAACTGGATTACTCAATTTCTCTGCTAGTTGAAGAAGAAGCGGCTAAAGAAGCATACCAGCTGAAGCAGCAACTCAACAAAGCCAGCACCAGTCCGGCTACGAGAAACCTGACGTGCCTCTTTGCAACATCCCGCGCCCCACCGCCAGCGCACCCTGGACACAAACCGGCTAAAGCTTCCACCAAACCTCGGGAAGTCTGGCCTGAGGCTGAAGGGTGCCATCCTCTTTCTCCACCGGCGCCGGGGCGTCCATGAATCTTCGTTCGGGTGTCGGGCGAAGTGGCTGCATGTCGGGTTTTGGCTTATAGTCGATGAGGTCTAGACTCAATCGTGTGGATGCATTGGTGATGTAAACTTGTGAGATGCACAGCAAACGCGTTGAGATGTTGCTCGGTATGTGAGCAGCAGAAACCCACTATACTATGCACACGACATGCGTATGTATACATGCATGCATGCATGTATGGATGTATGTATGTACAAATATGCACACGTATAGATTTGCTTGTACATCCGTTGGCATCTGCTGTTTACATACCGCATGTTGGAGTTCATGTCTATCGGCATTGTTTGCGGGAGGGACGAACATGGATACAAACGGGCACAGCAACATGCAGTCCAGGAGCACACAAAGAGTGACAACGACACTGACGCTCATAGCCGTTAACACACTCATTCACACGCATGCATACAGTCACTTCTCCCGAAGATACATACAGGTAAGTGTCAACAAACACAGTCATGAGCTCATTTCTTGACTTTCGTCCGTCTTGCTGAATGGCCAAACATATGCAAAGCTATGCGCACCCACAAACAAACGCAGAAAGCTGCCTGGAACCCTAAACCTGATGAACAGGCGGCCTGAGGATGGCCCCCAAAAGGCCTCAGCGAGCTGATCATGCGTCAGTCGGTGCGCGGTGATCCATAGTTCGCGACTCGAGACTTAGATGGGAGCCAAGATTCAGGACCGGTTGCCCCAGTGTCAATATTCGGGGTTTGGGCTCCGGAATAACACTCTTCAGGCTGGAGGCTACTGAAAAGTACATAGTCTCCATCACCACCAGCATCATGATGATGCTGATGCCCACGTGGTCATCGCCACTCCCACGGTCACCATCTGCATCATCAACAGCACAGACATCAAGGCCGCTGTCCTCATATGAGTACTATATACGAGGCACCTGATGAACAGTAATGTTGTTGCTCCTGGGCAAACCAAACCCTGGTCAGGCCCGAATCATAAGCCCGATGCCCTTAACGGGCTTAGTGACTCGAAACCACCTACGACCCTGAGTCTCTGCACGCAATAGTCTGCTTGCCACTATAGGCCCGAACCCCCAAACCCAAACCGTGTAAAAACCATTCCCAAGCCCTTGAAGAAATGCTTCCATACGATGACTTAAAAGAGAGCAAACAGGCTGGGCCCCCCTGCGGCCCTGAAGCAGGCGCTTGTTCACCAGCTCGGCGAGCCTCCAAAGGCTTTCAGCTGACGTGTTTGCAGGTCTTGCAGGGTGATACTGGGTTTCACGGGTTTAGGGTTTAGGGTGGTGTTGGGTTTGACGGAATCTGAAAAGGGCTTTAGAGGGCCTCTATCTGAGATTGAGGGTTATAGGGTTGGCAAGGAACAGAGCATAAGGCAAAAGGTCGGCCATGTCCGTGGGCAATGGGGTCTTAATAATTAGAATAGGGTTTTGGGGCCCATAACACTATAACTGTGATAAGGAACCCCCAAAATAGTATAGGTAATTGTAAGGCGGGCAAAGCCAAAACACAATCGTGGACAAAGCCAAAGAATTCGCGGGCAAGCGCCCCAATGTGCAGGGCCAAGTTTGCCCACGACTTTGCGGCATTTGGATATACGTAAGGGTTTAGGTTTTAGGGTGGCGGAAGGAGATGCTACGGGCGCTCAAAGTTTGGCAATTTTAGTTTTTTTCGGTGAAGGGGGGAGGTGGGCGGACTCTTACGATTTGAGGCTGGCATGCGTCTGGATTTCGGAACACCACATCGAAATAGCTGTGGAAAGTCACGCCGCTGAGTTCCTGCGGTTTTCGGCACTGACCTTTAGAATCCCGAACCCGAGCCCAAAAACAACATTGGACACTCTAACAGAAAAGCGCCTCATATCCCAACAACACTGTAGATCCCATTGATCTTGGAAGGAAACGCGGCATGATAACAAGTAGCTTCGTCAGTGCTACTGCTTAGCTTTTCATTCGGATGCTTGGTAGCCACAATGAGAGAACAAATAGGAATGTCAATCGCAACAATTAACAAACTCGCAACGAACCAATGAATATCCTCTATGAGTTGTAGATCATACTAAACAATAAAGCTAAAATGATAAGTACAAGACCATGAACTACCGTCAAACCACAGGCATGGTGAATATCGATTTGGACATGAACGGTTGGAAATAGAATCATCATAAAAGAAATGAAAACTAGTAATGACAAACAACACATAAACAAACTAAAAACAAGAAGGTACATGAAGCGAAAAACATTAAGGAGTTGAAAAAGAAGAAGAGGATAACCGATAACCAGTACTCATAAAACTATAGTAGTAGCACCAGTCATAGTCACTGTCATAGTCACAACCGTAGTCATGTCATGGAGTCGCAAACGTTATCATGGGTATAGTCATCGTGATCGTGACAATGCTAGTAAGAGGAGTAGTGGTGTGTGAACGGTATCGGCAGCAATAGTGGAAACAACCATGGTATTAGTCGTGGTCTTCGGAATACAGCCCGTAACCGCGACTGTAAGAGTGATCGTAACAGCAACACTACGAGTGCCAGCATGAAATCTTCCCCCGACTAATGGGCCCCCCTCCACCCCAAAAATTAAAGAACAAGACTGTTTTCACCGATTTGAATTTTGGTCTTGGGGGTTCACTTTTTGCATCCTCACTTAGCTCCTGGGTATACCGCAGACCCTGCAGTCCTACGTTCCTGCGGTTGCTGCAACCTGAAATTGCCAGCTAGCTGCAATTCTTGCAGTCAACTCATTCACAAGTTCTAGTGCGCACTCCCTCTTGCAAGCGTAAAGTTTCGGATGCTGGAAGGATCCCTGATCGGAACTCTACTCAACTCACACGTTCGAGTACACACTGGCTCTTGTAATCGTCGGGTTTCGGACGATGGGATAATACCTCAGCATAAATTCTGCTGGCGAGCGAGAGAGACACAGCGAGAGAGAGAGAGGGCTTCGATGCGGGCTTCGATGCAGTGCTAAGTCCCGACCCTCTGCCCTGGAAGAATCCCCCGTTGAAAACGCGTCTTGGCCCTTGAAAACTGCGTTTTCGGCCGCATGCAAGCCCAAATGCGCTGCCGGATTGGGCTTTTTATAAAAGGGTGCGGTTAAGTCATCGGAGGAGCGAAATTGTAGTGGTAGCAATGGGAAATTGTAGTAATCATACTACTGGCAAGAGAAGCGGAAATAGTAACCTGAATCGAACAGCTCAAGCAAGGGCTACAGCTACAGTTAGAGTAAACGCAGAAATGAGAGCAATAGCAACATAATTGCAGGAAAGTGGTGTTAGTCACAGTCGTAGTCGCTGGCATCCTTATGGTGCTGGTAATGACAATACTCGTGCTTGCGAAGAACATTAGAGAGCTGATTCTCCTGCTGATACAGAAAGCATACCAATATTCAACCACTACGACGACGACTTCTATTACTACTACCACTACTACTACTACTACTACTACTACTACTACTACTACTACTACTACTACTACTACTACTACTACTTCTTAATAACAATAACAAAAATAGTAATAATCAATACTGATACACACGACTACCACTAGCACTAACACCACTACTACCTCCCACTACTACTACTACTACTACTACTACTACTACTACCACTACTACTACTACTACTACTACTACTACTACTACTACTACTACTACTACTCCTACTGCTACTGCTACTGCTACTGCTACTGCTACTGCTACTGCTACTGCTACTTCTACTGCTACTGCTACTGCTACTGCTACTGCTACTGCTACTGCTACTACGACGACGACGACCACTACGACGACTAGTACTACTGCTACTGCTGATGCCAATGCTAATATAAATCCCGAAACTAAGTCTAGTACCGTAGCAAAACCGAAAATAACAACAAGCGTAACGTTAACAATAGCAATCTCAACATAAACAATAGCAACAACAACATCATTACGACAACGAGAGCGATACCACCGGTTGTCACAGCATCCGCTACCCGGCCCACCTCTCCACCCAGGCATCCAGGCGCTCAGCCGTGTTGACGAGGCCTGGCAGCCGGACCACTTTCGTAGGGCCGCAATAGGGCTTTATGCTTTGTTTAAAGACTTCGGTTAAACAGTAGGAGAAACCCCCAAACACAATACCTTCATGGTGCGCAGGGGCAGAAAGTCTGAGATTCAAAACGACATGGTCCATCTCGTATGCCTGCTCGGGCTGGGGTTTTGGGGTTTAGCGATTAGAGCAAAGTGCACACTATGCATCCAGGAATTGAAGGGGTTGAGAAATTGTGGTTCTGTTGCGGTTCTAAGTTGCCACGTAGACCCGTTTTGAAATCAACCACCATACTAGCAGTAGCAAAGACCGGTGAGGCAAATACCGAAGCGGACGATCCACAAAGGTTGAAAGACCCCAGACTCCCAAACTGCTGCATGCAGCACCAATGCGTAGAGCGAACGGCGCGGAGGCGAAGTGTGCTTCGTATCCCGCACCAAGGTACTCCTGACGCTCTGGCACGGGGAAATGCGCGACGGTGAGGTTGGGAGCTCCTTGTTACAGGGGCAATGCGGACCTTTCCGACCTTCGGTATGAACGGATTGCAGGGCAGCTGTGATAATCCACGGACAGCGGCACTTCTGTGTCCAAATGCAGCTACTGCGACAGCTAATCGTCCGGAACACTCTTCAACCGACACGAGCCTGCGAAATGAAGCTTCAAAACCACAGCGGATCGGAGACGCACAGCACATGAGTTCATGAGTTGAACGACCGTGCGTTATTTGGAGCTTGTGGGCCGAAATGTAACGATCCCCTAGAGTCTCCAGGGCAGGTTGATATTGGCTTGATTCCAAAGCATCAGGATCTGTAGGACGAGAAACGAAAAACGGAAGGTTGTTGCATGAATAGCCACACCATTCTCAATCAAAACATGGAGGTCCGATCATTTCTGCCAGGCGTGATGCAGGACAGCAACAAACGCACCATCATTCTCACGAAATGGGAGCTGCTTCACAGACTTTGGTTTGACAGCGCCAATTCCATAGCACAGCCCAGAGATTTGCAGACCTGCCCATAGACATTGATGGGAAGTACGGTGCAACTTGCAACCAGCAAACAAACAAAACAAAGCATGTTGACTATGTCGCGAAAATCTTACGAACACACCTGGGCCCAAATCAAGCACAAGCGGATATCGAAAAAAACACCGTGCCACGCATTCGAGCTTCAAACGTCAACTTTAATGTCAGTGCCTTCGGCTCCGCAACCCAAGCCAAGTACCCCGGCAACTAAAGACACGAATGCTCCAAGCTGACTCCGCCAGTCCTTTACCGGCTCGTAGAGCTGCTCGCGCAGCTCAAAAAGCCGTTTCCACGTGGTCCTGGCTTGGCTTGGCTTGGGGTACGGGGCGCTGCCGCATGCACTTTCAATGCACCCAAACCCTATCAGAGTTTGGGCCGCTTTTGCGACCGCATCGTGGATTTGGTTTGCAGTCTTGATCATCGTCTTGAAAGTACGAGTATAGCCTCAACTGGCAACGCCACTTCTGTGATCAGTTGTTGGCAACGCGAAACCCGCAAGACGGGGCAGCCAGAGTTTCCACAAGGCACCATCGCAATGGGCAAGCTCGCGGTTCGAAGCATGAACTATACTATATAATGCGAGGACGATCTGAGGCACTGGCGCCAAATGCAAATGCCAACAAGCCCGCGAGTTTGCAAAGACTTCTCGAAACCAGGAGCATTTAATCCGTGTGACACAAGCAACTCCAAGTACCCATACTCCGCAAGTCGGCAGCTGAAACTCGGATGGGGGTCCCGATGGCCTTGCGCTACAGATTGGCAAAGCAATAAACCACCTCCGCTGGCACAAAAGATGCTGTGCCAAGAAATGGAGGGACGACCAATCCATAGCGATTCGGTGGCCTTACCTTCTAACGCAGGCTTGAGGCGTGCCGCTCGGCGCAGAGGACAGGCTGAAAAGCAAGGCACTTGGAACGCTTTCGGAAAGATCCGGACCCTCTTCAATCTTCTTTGTTTGCTAGCACTTGGCTTAAATAGTGCCTATCATCATCTACTACTACTACGAATACTAATAGTACTACTGCTACTACTACTACTACTGCTGCTGCTACTACTACTACTACGACTACTAACACGACGACGACTACTACTGCTGCTGCTACTACTACTACTACTACTACAACTACTGCTACTGCTACTGCTACTGCTACTTTTACTACTACTGTTATTTTTATTCTCCTTCTCCTACTCCTACTCCTACTCCTACTGCTACTACAACTACTACGACTACGACGGCTACAACTTCTACTTCTTCTATAACAACCATCACCACCACCATCTGCGTCTGATCCTGCTGCCGGCACTACGAACACCGTCTGCCACAGCTACCCACCACTCAAACTGCTAAACCATCCTACAATGCAGCTGTCGCAGCCCTTTTGCTCTTGAGCCGGAGGTTAGGAGGGATACAACCCATGAACCCATCAGCCGGAAGCCCTCTAGACAACAAATATCCCGGAATGGCAAAGCCCCAGTCCGTATCAAACAGAAAGTAAGCAATCCAAGTCCTGACAATGGCCAAAAAGTGCATCAAGCGATGTACTAAACCTCCAAGAATTCTGGAGCCTGGCAACTCGAAACCCCACAATGCCCAAACTCTAAGTTCGACATTCCACAGCCCACCACTATTCGGTCCAAGAGAGGGGGAGCACGGTGAACAACGCGTCCACCTGACGGGTTCGGGCGATTAAGACTTGGATTAAGGATTAGGGCAGCGAGTTTCAATCAGGTGTGGATTTTCGTGTATCTCAGAGAGCTGCGGGATAGTTGGGTGAGGGCTTTAGATTTAGGACGAGAAGCTGCCGGATTGTGTGTTGATGGTGTCGGCCAAAGCCAGCAAGCCGTTCCAAGTAGAGCCCTACAAACCCTGCACCCCGAACCAAAGAGTCAACATGTTCCGTCCCCTTGGGCAGCCGCAAGTCCATCTGAAAACAATGCAGCTCCCAGCAGGCTGAAAATCTGCATGGCTGCGATCTTCGGAGCCAGCTATTGAATAAACAACCAACATTCCAACAAGCTGACCTCTGTGTATGTGAACCGTGACTCGCCACGCACTTACTATGCCGAGCTTGAGGAGCAGGGCTTCGACATGTAAGATCTCCGTCTTGGGCTCTTTATAAATGCTTCTGGGAGCCTGGGTCTAACTGGTTCCCAAGTTCAAGCTTCACGGTTCCGAACCTAGAGATACGCCTTAATAATTGGAATGGGGTTTTGAACCATTGCGGACATGAGTCTGGTGCCAATGAAGCTGGAGATGACTTGTGCATCCATTGAACTCTCAACTATCTTTGAGCTGATTTCCTAACTGAGCTTAGATACGATATCTTCAATGCGTTTTAGCATCGAGTCATATTTCGAGGGCCAATCGTCAAGACTTTGTACAGAGAAGTCCCGCGGATAAGGACTTCTACGTGTAAGGTTACGCGGCTCAGAGGAGGAGAAGTTCAACAACTTCTTACAGCACACACAGGATTCAGATGGTTGCCATTTGGACTCAAGTAAGTAAATGCGTGCGAAAGGTGTTTTCAAGAAGCTGATTTTGCTTGAACCCTTCAAGAACATCCTTAAACTTAATAATGCGATTTTTGCGGCTTTGAACCTTTTGATTGGACCGGGTTTGGTCGGCAATGCTTTTCTAATTTCATCAGAGGACATATCAGTCCATCTTTCAAGAGCAATCTGTGTGACACATTGAATCTGCTGAGTGACACGATTATTGGCAATGTCGTCTTTGCGCGCCCGTATTTGTTGAATCCAGGGCATGGGAGAGCCTTTCCTTTTTAAATCTCAGAATCGGCCAATTCTCAGATAAGGGGTTGCTCATAAGCATTTTTGCTTTAAGTCCTACCGCTTCACAAAAACCAGCAGTTGTGACACGAAGTACTTGCGGATTGATGTTAGAAGCCGTTCGAGCCTCAACACGAAGTCTTTGGATGTTGTTAGAAGCATCCAATAGATCCCAATCCGGAATGAAGAACAAGTGTTCGGGGAAGGCCGTCTCATTAGGAATGGCTTTAAGCCATTTGGCCTGCTCATCATTGGGGAAAGTCATGCCGTGCAGTTCAGGATTTTGCTGCTGTGTTTGAAACAGAAAAGAAGTGAGCACTCTTAATTTACAAGCAGCCATACCAATGAACTGGCATCGACCCAAGAAATCAGCCTCAACTCCACCATACCGCACAAACAGAGCCAGTGCTTGAGTCCAAGTGCGAATTTTGACTGCATCGTTACAGTTTTTGTTGGTCCATCTTGTCCAAAAAGACAAAATCAGCGCAAAAGCTTTGACGGAACTACCCTATTTGTTTCACTCAGTGCGTGTGCCAGGGGGATTCCATTGCAAAGGAAGGGCTTGTGAAAAGCACATTTCACTATTCCGTCTGTTTTGCAGCGGAAGAACATCCCTTGAAATGCAATTTTGCTGATTTTCCCCAGGCGCAAAGGGGGTTTTGAGCCCCTTTATAGTATAACCAGGCTGATGTCTCAAGAACAGTCGCCCACCTGCAGCTTCTCTTTGTCGTCTCGAGAAGCAGCAGCAACTGCCTCGCTCAGGAAAGCTTTCAGAAGACAATGGCAAGTTATTCTCCGGGCCTAGACACTGGAGTAGGGTTTCAGTGCACATGTTTGTAGAATTATGTGAGAACTATAAGGGCATATTACTGACTTTCCAAGCCTGTCTATAGTACTTCTCAGGCATAGGCTGACCTCTCCTCAACCTCCGAGTGTCATAGCAGGGGGGTGGAAGACCAAGCATCATGGGTGTGCTTCAACACAATCCGGGCTTCGGACTCGGCCAGCAGGTAGTTCCTCTTAACAAAACAGAGACATTTGATGAGGCTGATGCAGTTGTATTACTGTACAGAATCGTGAGCGAGCACCCTCTTCAAGCCGTCATGACGGAAGACAGCCCTTCAGAATGCTGGACATTGGCGTTTAGGTGTGGGGCGGCTTGTGGGGTTTGGTCCGACGACCTCACTGCACTGAACTGAATGCAACGTGCCGATACACCAATCCTCTCAAGGCTCATGCTCAAGGCTCATGCCCTAGAGTGTCGGCGAGGTAGCATCCGACGTAAAATAAGTTAGAACTACCATGCAGTGACGACAAGATACGACAAGCAAAGCACGGATTGAACAAGCGACTCTTCAACCGAAACATCACCACAAGAAAGAAAATCCTAGCGGTCTGTGTAGCAACGGTGGTACCGTGGCTGTTCTGCCATAGCTCTGTTTGCATCTTTGTTTATCCCCCTCCTCAAGAAATAACGCCAGAAAGACTCCGGCAGGCGAAATCCCAAACAGAGACTCGTGGGGCTGCTGAGGTCCCTGCACACCTTAGGCTTAACAACTTGAAGCACGAGGTTGAGGGCGTATTCGCTTCGGCTCCGGTACTTAGCTCAAAACTTTATGATTTTTACGCCCGGAGCGCTCCGAAAGCAAGACTGAAAAACTGATCGAATCTCGGTCCTTCTCCGGCAACCTCAGGGCACAGCGCACCTTCGCAGAACGAAGCAGGCTGTAAACCCTGCAGCTTCGGAGATACCCCGGGACCTCCCGGGACTTTCGGGACTTTCACAAGCCGAAGGCTCCCGCAACGAATGACTCAGAGCAGACAGACGTGGCAGTGAGAAGAGTTGCTAAACACCCTTCTAGTTCCTTGCTGTGGTTGAACCGATTCTAGATTGAAGGAAGATTCAGGACGAACTAGTCAGCAGAGTCTTCAGGATCCCCAACGTCAGGCCCGGGATGATTCGGAGGAGGCTTCGCGGTGTGCTACCGGTTGATGATAGCAATCCTGCATTACCCATAATAAGGAATATATGGGAATTATGGTATCTTTTTGTAATATAGGTAATGCAGGATTTATATCATCAACCGTACTCAGGGGCGTGGCATAAACGCCTGGGATGCAAGGATTCGGATTAAAGTTCCAGTGCTGAGTACCCGAATCAAACTGGGCATTTGGGCTTTCTTTCGGAGGACATGCCCGCCTCGTACTTCCGATGCCCATCCCGGTCCATGTATCTTTCCTCAGTGATTTGGGCAGCAACGATGACTTATACTTCTGCGGGCCTGTCGTCTGCCTATGCCTAGATCTCGTTGCCTAAAGTGTCCGTTCCCAAACTAGCAGCATCGCAGTGGAAAGTGCGATCTTGACGAAACTCCGAACTCCGACTTCCTGAGTAACCACCCCAAAGACAAAAACAAAAACATCGCCCCGTCGAAGCTCAGTAGAAACCCGCGTAGCTGACGATCAAAGCCAGCTTTTCCCTCTGAAGGTCGGAGGTTTCTCGTCAGGCTTTACTGTAGGGCTTCGGCATTTCTGACTGAAGCTCTGGACCACAGCGCTTGGGAAGACTTCTTAAACCAAGGCGCCACGGCCAAGGACAGCACCGGATCCACGTCTTGCACCCCATAACCTGCGGGGCTTCGGAGCTTGTTGTTGGCTTCGAGGGCCTATGATGAGGCCCTAGATGAACCCTTGGCGGAAATCAGCCAAATCCTTAAAAACCTGAAACCATAAAGCTCTAGCGTAAAGCTCTACTTAGAAAAGCAGCCGCGGGGCCAAATCTGGAGAGGTACATCCGGCTTTCCCAGTCGCTCTGCGTCGGAAGAGCACCGGACGGGCTTGTGCCGCCCTCCTCCAGGTACTCCACATACCTAAGACTCTCAAGGCTCTAAAGTTTGGAGCTGTCTTCAAGGCCTGGGCCTCCAGAGCCACGTGTTTAGCTGTTTTAGTTTAACTTACCAGGTGGCCCCCACGGGGGCTGTTTAACCTCTGGCTCCGAGAAGACACAAGGTGTTGAAAGGATCTTGCTTGGCCTTTGGCAAACGCCTCTACACATAAGAAGAATGCATCTGCAAATATCGCGGACTGCATTCGATATCGGGCGTTTATCTTGTACCGCAAACAGACCAGCACCCATTGAAGTTGAAAGCTTTGAACCTCAAGCTAAACATGAGCCTCCCGGTACGTGTCAAGCCCAATGCAGCGGGCGTCGTGTGCTAATGTAGGACAAGTTGACTTCTTGAGCTGCATGGCGCAACCATGCGTGACAGCAGCTTGCATCGTCCCCTCATAACTACCTGGACCCCGCTCTTTTGCATGTGAACCCCGGAATCCGAACTGCAACCCTGCAACCCTCAAACGAAAGACCATGATGCCCAGCGAATGTCAGAAAGCCTCATCTACGAACGGCAAGGCACCAACCCATGTCAGAGAAGTGGCTGGTTGATCTTGCTCTTCCGAGATCCAAAGTTTCCCATGGCGTGGAAATCATGAATTAACTGAACGAAGGTCTGGGGTGGAGTGGGAGCTCCAAACTCCAAACCGCAAGACTGAAAGTGGCCATGCAGTTGATTGTACAAGATAGTTACATATAAGATGTATTATATGCATACTGTATATATTTCATAGTATACAGTCTTTTCATTATCTTTATTATATTATATATACGGGTTGGTTTTGGATGGCGATGCAGCTCCTGATTCGTAACAGGGCTAGTGCCCAAGAAACCCGGAAGACATCACCCTACATGGAGGTTCATTGGTAGTTATAAAGTGGGTTACAAGTCCCCTGACATGGAGAATAACTATGGTTACCCTACTCCAAGTAATCTGGCACAAACCCCAGTGCATCTAAGTCTTGAGGTCTAAAGGTCCCCGGGCCCTTCGGGAAAAGCACAACCCAAGACCGGTGATGAAGGTATGATTGGATGCCCCAAACCTTGACCAAACCAACAATCTTGAAGCCCGGACTCAGAGGGCTTCTGTCCCTCGATCTCTGGTAGGTTGTCCTCTTATTTAACATCCCATGGTTAAGATGCGGTTTTGTGGGTCTGGGAGAAGGTCGTCCGGCTCAGCAGCGTTGAGTTGAAATCTCTGCTGCAGACGGCGCGGCGCACTGCCCCGAGGCAACGCAGAAACAAACCTGGCTCTTACCTCTTCAGACCTAACTCGAACCTGAAATCCTGAAATAAATTCAACATTGTTACTTGTGAATTTGAGATTCAAGCTCCTAGAGGAGCTAACGGTCGAACCCCTACCAGGACACCCCCCAAAGTGCCCTTAAGACATTAATATGCTTCTTGTCCATACCATAATTAGGCATGCACTTCGCAGTTCTAAGCTGGCGGGTACACTTAGGGTCTAATCAAAGGATAGTTGAGGGATCTGGTAGTTGAGCTTGTCCAGACAGTTGTATAACTCCCAGGCAACCAGTGTCCTCCAGAAAGCGAGTCGCCCGCGCACCGTACGCAAGCATGATCTCCTCTAGATGATTTTGATGCACCCGTGCTGCTTTAACAAACCCAAAAACCTAATCGTAAATGCCAGAAAAGATAGTTGTTGCATATTCGGAAGGCGTTCAGGTCCCAGCTTTACACAGGCACAACAGCCTGTTCCCTGGATGATGTTGACGGATTGACAAGATTGGTGCATCGTCCAAGCTGAAATTGTTGGAGATCTTCGGGGTCGGTTCAAGTTCTCGGCAGTTGATCTGTCTGATGTTCACCTATCACGCGATGCCCTCCAAACGAACTAATATCATTGATAACATGGATCAGTTTCACGAGGCTCCGAGTTCCATGCCTTCCCCAAGGACCATGCAAGAACCGAAACAGTGTGAACTCGGAGTGAGGCTTTTTGAAGCGAACTCAGCTTCCTGTCTTCTTCGGTCATCCGGCGGCAGGTGTGTAAATTGCGCATTCCAACTTCCACGCACCCCCAACCTTAAACCCAGAGTAACAGCTACCACGGGCTCGTCCTCGCAAGCAAGCGAAAGCTGATGTTGCTCGTGAGCAAGGCATGAGGCGCAAGGGATCCTAGATCTGATGGGAAAGCCGCCCTGCATCCCAGAAAAGAGAGAACCCTCCCTAACTGGGAAAACGCCCCCCTACCCTAACCTACCCTACCCTGTCCTACTCTACCCTATCCTAACCTACCCCCCGGTCCAGCTTGTCTGTTTTCTTCTCCAGGCAGATGGTGAGCTCATCTCGGATTGCAGAGCCCACGGCTAGAAGTACCCATGATTTGCCTTTGCCTTTTTGCCTTCGTTGTTTTCTGGTTTAGGGTGTGAGTTTAGAGTTCAGGGGTTTTGGGTTTAGGGTCGGCCCACCATGATCCAGTGCCGTGAAGGTATGCAGGAGTGCCGCCCGGGCTGCGGTCGAGCAGTGCGCAGGGCTCTTCGCAAGTTTTCGCATGGATACTCAACATGATCTTTGCAGATATGCATGTTAATGGTCCGTCAATGGTTTTAAAAGCATGAAGAACGTCGACATAGTTCTTAGACACGCCATTCCCAAGCACATTGGTCCAAACCCTAACCGCGAACGCGAGACACCCAGAAGTTTCAAGCTGCACATTGCACATCTTCGAAGACATGAACCGAGGAACTTCCCTGGACGTGGAGGAGCGTGAAGGAGTGGTAGGCGCCCCATCCCCGAGGGACGACTGACCAGTCCTTGATTTCAAGGGCTTCTAGCGTTCAGACTGTTGGCATATTACCTAAACTTGAAAGCGCACCGACCCCGCACCCTGAGAAATTCGATACTCCCACCGTCCCAGAACAATGCTTGCCCAAATGGCCTGCCGCACCTCCGTGTACTCGGTGATGTTGTGGAAAAGGTGATCCCTGAGGCACTGTGCTCAAGGTCGAGATTGCCACAGTCAACGTGAATGCAATGCACATACTCGTGCGGAATGTTATATGCTCCTATATTCTGCTCTATTATATCTTATATATAATGATAACCATGAAAGCCCTGAACACATACCAGCTCAGGGCTCTTCGCCACGCAGGGGCTTCGTTCGATGGCAATGAAACGGAAAAAGTGTTGCAGGAGTCTCACCTGGCGCTGCCAAACCTTCTGGTGCACACCAGCCATGACCGTGCAGATACAAGAACCATGGCAATCAAACAGCCGGAGCACGAGACGTGCTTGTCGGGAGGACTGGACAAGCGCAGAAGGGTGGTCTTCACCTGAGAGCCGAGACAGGTTCTGAGAGTCGAGTTTGTAGTTAGGGTTGATTTTGTCTGTGCTTTTTGGGTGTTCAGGGTTTGAGGTTTGGGAGTGTGGGCCGTGGGGCTTTCAGGGTTTAAGGTTTAGGGCTCAGGCTTCCAGCCTTGGGGTTTAGCTCAAAGGTATAGCCCCTGAAACCTTGGAGCAAAGCCTGAACTCTGAGCCCTAAACCCTGAAAGCCAGCACGCTACGATGGGGCCCTAGACCTGAAACATTATTTACAATGGGGTGCCTTGGTTCCTGAAAGGGGAGAATGCTTTAAATTAGTCAAACCCCCAGAAGAGTATCACCGAATCCTGGGGTCTGGGGGGATCTCCGACGGTCACTGCCTAAACCCTAAACCCTAAACCCAGAGCCCATGGAAAAGGTTGAGTCTAAGTCTATGTATTGTATGCAGAAACTCAGGCTGGGGCAGAGAGAAAGGGGGAGCGAGAGAGCGCCTCAACACTATACGCACACCTATGTTACGTGAGTCTGTGAAGTTTCCATTACATGTGTATATGGATATCTCTCTCTATATATATATATATATATACACATACACATGCACATAATGGTATATATATATACACAAATATGTGTATGTACATATATGGGTATATACAAAGGACAACAGAATATACACAAATCCAGCACGCGCATGTGGAACATAATGCTGCCCAAGCCGCCCAGATGCTGCCATCCTCCTTGTATTGGAAAAAACCTGGGCTGGCAGTTTACGGAGCTCCAGGCCTAAACTTAAACCGTGCCGCTAGAAGCCCCAGACCTCCAGCTCTAAACACTTTACAGCCTAAACTCCTGTCGTACCTGGAACCTGGTGATTCCTTATTAATCGAAGCAAGCAGCGAATATACTCGTCTTCTTCTCCCTTCTCGGAGACTTCCTGCGCTCAAGAGCTGAGCCCAGGTTGGGGAGTCAAGGCTGACGATTTGGAGCTGATCAAGATCTGCTGAGGGCCTTCGTCTCTGACTTTGCCTTCGAGGTGGCGGTTTAAGGTTTTGAGACTAGAGTTCAGGCTCTCGGTGGGCATGGCATTTGGGCCCTTGGGGTCGCGGGAATCTTTGAGGGCTGGGTTCAAGGCATGCGCAATCACAGGCTCATATTGTTGATAGCTGTTCGCCATTGTTGCTGCTCAACCTCGGATACAGTGTTGGTCTCATTATCACTGGTACGGCTGCCACTGTTCCGAACGCTACTGTTCTCACCGTGCATGGTACGAACACATCAATCGCAAGGAGCTCCAGAATGACCCGAAGGCCCTAAATGGAAGCCCTGATCCTAACACCCCTAAGCCCGGCTGACGCAGTGAAACCGACAACGAAGGGAATGATTGTGGCAACCCTTTCGAGCCAGCATCCTCTCAAACACGACCGAAGACACCTTCTCGTCCAGTATACTGATCACTAACATGCAGGCCCAGGCCAGAAGCCCTTCACCATTAGCAACTTAAGCCCACAAGACACCTCCACCGTGATGCACACGACCCAGTAGCCCCACCACGTGGCATTCCAGCGTGCAGGCATGAACCTGAAGCAAGACTTCATAGTGAAGACATCTCTGACCGATTGAAACCTTAGCTCCAAAATACTCATGTATACCCTGAACCCGACGTCGTACAAAGCCACACTGAGGCCTCCTTGAGACGCATATCTACCAGAGTCCCCACATCACAGTGCTGACGTTGAAGTCCCACACCAAGAAGAAAACTCTTCCAAATGCGCAGGGTGTCTCTCCCATCTCGCTGCAGAACATGGCTGCGACGGCAGCGCAGCCAGAGCGGCGGATCCGAACCGGTCTCGCTGCTACTTGGGGCTGGGGGCCTCTTTGCGGGTGTGGCTGCTAGATGGGGTACTGGTACTGGGCCTTGACCCAAAACATCCCCGCGAACCCTTGATCGCACTCTGGTGCCATCAATGCTTGAAGCTTCAGTGATTGGGCCTTCATCTGCATGCTTCTTGCGTGCTGGGCTAGCGTTGAACACGACGGCTAGTCTTGAGGTGCGGCTACCTCAGAAGCGCATGAGACTGGGATGCAAGAGTTACATATGTGTTCGGAGGGTGGGTTTGGCCTGGAACTCTTGTGACTGAGGGGTTCCCATGTTTGAGCCTCCAGCAGCAGGCGCATGCGTTCATGTTCAATGCATTGGCACTAAGCTTAATCCTCCTTGGTGCCTGAGGCTTCCGTCATAAACCTCAGGTCCTATCCCGCTGTGATCAGGGAACGGATAGCAACGCTTACAAGCTGCGATGCAAAGAAAGGCCGGCACCTCCTGTCAGCGGCCAGTACTCGTCCGGGCCAGTCTTGAGCACGACCTGACAGGGGAGGCTTGGAGCTTAGCTTCACCCATCTTCCGTCTACCTCACGAAGAATGGGGGTTTAGGGTTTAGGGTTTAGGGTTTAGGGGGGGGAAGGACTGTATAGGGTATTAATTAATTTGTTAAGATGCATGTCTGGGGTTTTGAGTTTGCACTGATTGTGTCCGGAAGCGCAGACCCCCCCACAGAATTCCCCCCACACCCTGGCTGACTCAAAGCACTTGCAGGCTATACCTTGGACAAAGCCCCTGTATCAAGCCAGAAAGCCTAAAACGCTCATCAACCCTAAACCCAAAACCACAAATCCCAACCCCCTGAGCCCTGAAACCCTAAAACCCCTAAAATCCTAAAGCCCTATAACCCTAAACCCTAAATCCTGAGCTCCCCAGGCGGCCACCCTGAAACCCTAAATCCTGGCCGAAAACCCTAAAATACAAACCCGAAACCCTTCACCACAAACCCAAAAACCCTAACCCCTCAACCCTTCAACCCCTGTACACCCCTATAAACCCCTATAAATCCTGAACCTCTCAGGAGGCCCGAAACCATCAGGGACTCTCAGGGAGCCTCGAAGCGTTGTCGGCTCTGACCCCCAGCGCCTTGGTGGGGCAAAGGGATGGCTTCCAAAGGATTCTTGGGAGGGTTCAGGGTTTGGGTTCCTTCAAAAGGGTAGTATAGGGGTTCCTTTAGGGGATCTATAGGGGTTCAGGGTTTAGGGTTTAGGGTTTCGGTTTGGGTTTAAGGGTATGGGTTTTGGGGTCTAGGGTTTGTTTAGGGGTGTTGGAGACCCGTTATGCTTTTTGGAGGCTTGTGCTCTGAGGTCTTAGGCATAAGCAAAGGTTCAGGGATGCGGCTTTGGTTTTACAAAGCTGCGTGTTCGCGACATGTTCGCAGCTGTGCCCTTAAAGTGGCCGAACAAAGATGTTGGATTTTCGGGGCTGCACCGCTAGAGTATCGCAGTGGAGGATTCAGTGCTTGGCCTAAACTCAAAAACCGCACTAACCTTCCCAAACAGCCTAAACGCCTATAGCTAACGTACCCCAAACCAACCAGGGGTGCCTTGCAGGTCCTTCAAACCTTAACCGCACACCAACATCCCCTGCCCACCAACACCGTCCGAGCGAGGTTCACACACACCCACATCCGCGCGACAGCCAGAACGGGACGCAAGGACCCAAACGCGCTCTTGTCCCTCATGGTGAGGCCCCGGCAGAGGAAGGACACGCGAACAGCACAATGCTGAGGAATGTCCGGCTTTGCCTCCTGCATCGAATATTGGTACATGTCGGGAACACCGGACCATTAGCAGTACGCGTTGTTTTTCGACTCTGTGGCTGCACTCCGTCGTGGCTGCGCTAGTGACGCAAGTGACTGTGCATGCCCGGAGTTTGTTTTGAGGCTTCTAGACATTGCCTCCCCGATTGATGAATGTTGCAGGGTCTCTGACGGGGAATTCTTACGGGCATTGAGAATGCTCCGGATAGTAGTAGTAGTAGTAGTAGTAGTAGTAGTAGTAGTAGTAGTAGTAGTAGTAGTAGTAGTAGTAGTAGTAGTAGTAGTAGTAGTAGTAGTAGTTTAGTAGTAGTAGTAGTAGTAGTAGTAGTAGTAGTAGTAGTAGTAGTAGTAGTAGTAGTAGTAGTAGTAGAGGAGTAGTAGTAGTAGTAGTAGTAGTAGTAGTAGTAGTAGTAGTAGTAGTAGTAGTAGTAGTAGTAGTAGTAGTAGTAGTAGTAGTAGTAGTAATTGTAGTAGTAGTAGTAGTAGTAGTAGTAGTAGTAGTAGTAGTAGTAGCAGTAGCAGTAGCAGTAGCAGTAGCAGTAGCAGTAGCAGTAGCAGTAGCCGTAGCGGTAGCAGTAGCAGTAGCAGTAGCAGTAGCAGTAGCAGTAGCAGTAGCAGTAGCAGTAGCAGTAGCAGTAGCAGTAGCAGTAGCAGTAGCAGTAGCAGTAGCAGCAGTAGTAGAAGTAGTAGTAGTAGTAGAAGTAGAAGTAGAAGTAGAAGTAGAAGTAGAAGTAGAAGTAGAAGTAGAAGTAGAAGTAGAAGTAGAAGTAAAAGTAGAAGTAGAAGTAGAAGTAGAAGTAGAAGTAGAAGCAGAAGCAGAAGCAGAAGCAGCAGTAGTAGTAGAAGTAGTAGAAGTAGAAGTAGAAGCAGAAGTAGAAGTAGAAGTAGAAGTAGAAGTCGAAGTAGAAGTAGAAGTAGAAGTAGAAGCAGTAGCTAGTTCAGCTAGTTCAGCTAGTTATGTTTATAAGTCTAAAGATATCAGGAACGGCCTGTCAGGGTTTAAATCAACCACCAGGAGGTCGTCATGCAGCATTTTTCTCGCCTGGATGATCCGCAGACTTGTTGCAAGACGCCCACAGCCCCGAAGCCTTGACTACATGTATTCACAGTCCCGTTATGATATAGATCGCACATCCTCAAAAACTTAAGCGAAACCGAACTAAACGTCACTGAACCCCAAATTCTCCAAACGTTCTGAAGCCTAGGCCCCCCAAAACCAAGACCTCTCGATATCTCAAAGGCCCAACCCCCAAAAAGGGCCTCAGACTGTACGCAAAGATCCCCGGAGTCCTTAAACAGCACCGAGAGCGGCTGCAGCTCGAGGGTGGAAGCCTGTCCGTGCCAACTTTCCAGGGCTTTTAGGATGGTTTAGGGTTTAGGGTTTATTGTCAAGGGGTTTAGAGTTAAGGTGTTTGAGGGCTCAAGGCTTTTAAGGTGCAGGTTTTGGGGCCTGGGGCTGTTTTGCTCTGGCTTACAACTGCTTCCAGAGTCAACAGGAGCGCCGACCCTGCCACGAAAGCCCGAAGTCGAAATCCTCCATGCCGAACGCTAGAAACCCCAACCTAGACCCTGAATGCCCAAATCGTCGAGCCAAACGAAAAGACGATAAAGCACACACCCCTAACCTCAACACCCCGAAACCATATCCTGTGGACCTGTGACGCCCCCCACATCTTCTGCATAAAAGTCCCCGCTTTCACGGGCGAGTGAGGCCCAGGCCTGGCCGAAAGCTGTTGGCCGCTCCCGTCGCTGGCCTCAGCGCCAGGCCCGGGAGTCAGCCCGGGAGGCCATGCAGGTCTGCAGCTTTGAGAAAGTGCAGAGTGTCTGCGGTGTGGGCAGCATTGAAAGCACATAGTGGTAGTAGGAGGTCACAGCTATCAATCGTCAGAGTTCGCGGGTTACGAGCTGGCACCAAAAGCTGCGAAGGTTCAGCCGTGCTTAGAAGGGAAAATGGTTGAACGGCTCGTGCCGTGCTAGTAGTGCCGATCTGTCGTTACCGGGCACTGTATTATAGGAGCCTTAATGATTGGAATAGGGTTCTGGGGCACGTTCTACTAAAGTTGTTATTGAGGAACCCCCAAGATAATAGTATAGGTAATTGTGAAGGCCCCTATAGTGCATACACTTCCAGAACGATCTGGGCTTTCACGAATCTCCAGGGCAGGCCACACTCCATCAGAAGCTGTGAAGAGCAAATGCAACCACGAGACATGTACGTCAGTCCAATAGCACCCTTCACACATCATTACTCTCCTAGCCAAACCTATCCTACCTAACCCAACCTACACAACATCCCCTCCCCCTCCACCCCATTCAACAAAAAAAAAAAAAGAAAACACACAGACTAACGGTTTCGAAGTGGAACGCCCCTAAGCCACAGAACCCTAAACCCTAAAACCCTAAACCCTTATAGATCCCTTAAAGGAACGCCTATAGTACCCTTTGAAGGAAAGGAACCCTAAACCCTCAGAACCCTGAAAGCTTCCAAAATCCCAGCTAAACCCTAAACCCTAAACTAAGCGAGGGGCCGAAACCGTCGAACGACAGGCCCCGAGCGCTCTGGCCGAGGGCCTAACAGCCCGAGCGCCCCTACGAAAAGAGCGGGACGCGGAGAGGGGAGGGTAAAGCCTCCCCGGTCTGACCTGCACAGGTCAACGGTGTAAAGCCCATGGCCGACCCCAACGGGAAGTCTTCGAAATGAGGGACCGCCGTATCGGGACCACCTCTAGCGTAGCTTAAGTTATAACCCCAAACCGTGGGCCATTTGCTCTGGACCCCCTCCTTTGGTTAGTCGCGCTTGTCCTTTTCGGAAAAGGACAACCAGCTCTAAAATCTAGATTTAATTAGAAGGTTTAGGATTTAGGGATTTAGGATTTGGGTTTTAGGATTTAGGATTTTGGATTTAGGGTTTAGATTTAGGATTTAGGATTTAGGATTTAGGTTTTAGGATTTAGGATTTAGGGTTTAGGATTTAGGATTTAGGGTTTCGGATTTAGCTTCCGGAAATTTGGATTTTTGCTGGTGATTTTCAATGACAAATTCTGTTCATAAAATGTGCCTTTTAATGAAAACCGGCTGCGAATCTCGAGGTCCCCTCCTTTCTTTTCGTGTGGCTGCTCTTAAGCTTCCGGATTTCAATATTTAGTCGCGCTTGTCCTTTTC